CTCTAAGAGTCTCTCCTTTCCTTAGAGCTCTGGATTCCTTGTTATCATGTCTGTCTTATACACTCAATTTTGAAGTCTGGTCCTGTGTCTTTTGAATTTGGCAGCAAATCTCCTTCTGCAGCTTGGCAGGCCTGAATGGGATTCCCTTTCTCAAGGTTGCTCCTTAGGGCTCAGAGATGACACTTAATTGAAGCAAGACATAAGTCAACTATCCACAGGTTGGACCATTATTGAAGAACTCTGTAGCTTTTCAAGAACTTGTCCATTTTTTTCTTTTAGGAACTTAAAATTATGATAAAAAATGTGTGCGCGCACCTTTCTAATGCAAATTACTGCTGTTCCTAGTCACAATCTGTTCTCATCAGAAGAGGCAAGACTATGCCTTTTGGCAAAATACAGCTTCACGCACAGGATTTTTTTTCTGCACAAGTTCAAGAGGACACAATGTCATTCAGGAGGCTTCTACTCTAAATTCTGTAGATGCTACACCTGATCTGAGCCTACAAAAAGCTAACAAACTGTTCCCAGGAGTGCTGTGATGGTAGAACATGAAGTAACTATTTCCCAGTAGGTATTAGGCAAACCTGGCAAACACCAACATCAGTTTCTCAACCGTGTTTACAAGTGTCGCAAGAGTTGTCCCCTGTTGCTTTCAGTGTCACTGAACTGATACCGATGCACTTACCAAAAACCTTTGATTACTTGCAGGGGTGAGTGACTCCTCTGCTATACCAGAATCAGACTTTATTTAAAGCAATTGTTGTCCAAAGTCTAACTACTAATTTTTCAGTATGCATAATGTTGCGCATCAACCTTTAACTGAGGCTATTCATTCACACATGGCTATTCATCATGGTGTAAGCTTTGCACATCAGGCTTTGCACTACCATTACTGGGATTTCTGTGCAAGCAGGAACCCCCAATTCCAATCTAATTTTACACCCCTGGGACTTCTTTTTAAAGAGATTTTTGTGTTCCACTGATTGTATCTGTACAGGAGGAGAAGTTATCTGCATAAGGCAGGGACAGTGCAATTCCAACATCATTTTGTATTTTACATTGTTCCACCAACCTCAGTTCTCGCTTTGAACTAAGACACTCACATTTGCCTTCAATCTAATTAAAAAGAAGCACTGACAGTGTAGCTTTAACCAACAGCATCCACTAACATCTGCTTTATGTGACTTGAATAATGACAACATTTGTTTAAATGAATCAAGTATCTACAGCTGGGGCAAAGTTCCATCTGTGAGAGTCTTCTATTCCTTTGGATCTTTCCATGTGATTAAGACTTCTTAATTTATTAGGCTCAAATGTATGCAGTATACAGTTCTGGCCGTTGGCAGTAGTCTACTTGCATACAAGATTTCTCTTTATCTCAAGTCAAAAATGATAATGGTAGCTGGGAGCAGTATTAGTTAAGAGGATTGTAGAGAGAAATGTAATCTCTGAAATAACCTTTTGTCCTAAGAAGAACTTTCAAGTGTAGGTTAAACAACATGTAACCTCTTTCATAGGTTACAGAGTCAATCACAGTGTCTGTCAAAGGCTACCTTTAAAATAAGAAGCAAGTCACATCCCTACTTGTAGGTTGTCTAATGCCACCAACTAATTCTGCTGTTACTAGATTGTGGCATATCAGCCTGATACTTTCCACTGTGGTTTATGTTGTACGCTATATTGCAAGTCATACCTCCAAAAACATTCTTTCATAGGTAGGGACCTACCGAATTCCCAGAGGCTGCCTCTGTATTTTGTGGTCCTGTTGTCACATTTGGGTGGCATTTTTGTGGTAGAATGTGGTGGCTTGCCTGATGCCTCTGGCCAAGGGGCCCTGAAAGTCCTGTCCCTTCCTGGAGAGTGACAGACGGCCACCTGTCAATCTCCTGGGAGCAGTGGACTTTCAGGGCCCCTCAACCAAACTCTTCTTCTCCCCCCCTCCCTGTACTCCAGGTTGCCAGGGCTTCCCACCCTTTTCTGTTTGCAGCTGCTCTTTTGCACCCCCATCTTGCTGCCATTTCCCCACTTTTTCATGGTCCTCACACTTTTTTCCAGGGACTGGGATTTCTCAGGGGGAACCTATCAAATTTGTGGTTTCTGTGAAATTGTGAATTCGGTAGGTCCCTACTCATAGCTTATCAAAAACAATCTTTTCGAATGTGTCTAGTTTCCTAATGGTGACGCTGAAGTTTCATCTGAACCTCTGAGTCACCATTAGGCTGCAGTGAAGCGCTTGACGACAGTTACCATCCAAACCAAACAGGCAGCAGAGGTGTGTGTCTCAGGCTGGTTAAAAAAATGGACTTGGACACAATTCACAGAAGGCAAGGACTGTGTACGGCTGTTCAACCTACCCCAGTAATTAGGTTACTCACTGGCCTATGATGGGAGCCCTTCAACTCCATGCTGCAAAAATCAGACAGAACTGGGATCCGAGTATGGGGCTCCCAAACCCAGCCAGCAGGTTCTGGAGTGAGGATAAGAGCAACCAAGAGGAAAAGGTTATCACAGAACTGATGCAGCTCTCCTCCAAATTTTCAATTATTCATTGGGACTGAGGTGCTTAGATACCTTTTATGGGCTTATGGCCTTATTTATAAAGTTTTTTTCTGGTTATACACCACTACATCAAGCTGTGTGGATGCTTTTAATCCAGGATAAGTAGGGTTTTGTTGTTGTAGCTGCTGCTATCACTTAAACTTCTAAGTGAAAAACTGAAACAAAAGCCATCCTGATTCCAGCACAGCAGCATGTAGGTGGGGTTGGATTATACCAGTACAATGATAGTGCTTTGAATTCACACCTAGGATTAATTTTTCCCATGTAGATTTGGCCTCAAATAGGAAAAGGCAGTGGCCAGAAGAGACTAAGACAACAGAGCTTCAGAAGGAATAAAACAGCAGAAGGGAAAGAAAACACTGACACCTTGTGGACGTTGTAATACATCTGTCAAAGAGGAGGAGCTTGGAAAAGCAGGTTATAACAACCCCATTTCTTTTTCCCATACCCATTTTTCTTGCAGGCTCTACCTCCACCTCTCTCTTTGGGAGGGAGACAGGTCTCTTCAGCCTGCGCCTACCCAGTCTGTTCATCTGACATTAATCCGTAGTTGGTGGTATTAGACCAACTTCATACCAAAAAGTGGTGCTCAAAGGCCCCAGTTTGACCCAGTCAAAGCAGCTTTGCCCCTCTGAAAGACAGCTCCTCTGGGGGCCCTCAAAGTCAAGCTGGCAAGGGAACTCTGATAGGGAAAGCAGCTTATGTATGAAAGCCAAGAGCTAGTATGTCAGTACAGTACCAAACAACCTGCATCCCTTATTACCATACATGCTCAGTTAGTAACTTGCGTTAAGCAAGCCAGAGAAATCTTTGTAACAAGAAGGGACTCAGGTTTTCAGTTTCCAATGGAAAAATAGAAAAAAAAACCCATGGAATTTCCCTTTTACTGGAGAAAAACACGGGTTTTTCATTTTAACAGAGAAACATGCAGATTTTGCTCTTTGCAAAGAGCTCTGCAGGCTGGCAGAGTTGCAGCCTGCAAGAGGCAGGGGGGAGAAGGAGGAAGGTGGCAGCCTGGAGAGCAGCTCTTGCAGGTAAGTCTGGTGGGGGAGGGGGGTAACTGGGCCCCCCATAGGGAGGGAGGGAGGGAGAGAAGG